ACCTACTAACTACCGTAGTCGGTTACGTTAGTTAGGTAGTTGAATATTGTGATTCTGCTATATTGAGACTGATATATGTGACATGACCACTGCACAATGGGTCCTTCATTAGTAGTTGGATAGATAATGCCTCGACTCCAATGATAGAAATGGAGTCGGGAGGTGACTGTAAATAACAGGGAGGGTCGGGCCCCCCACATTATTATGGGCACTACGCATTGGGTTCTCCAATGGTAGTGTAACGCCCTATTGTCTGAAGGCATAAGGAGAGGGTCGTGTCTTGTAAGGCCACCACCTATCGAAAACCCCAAAACGTGCTGGGGATTGTGTGTGTGAGTGAGGACATTACGAAATAAGGCTTCCATTTGCCATTGTCCTCCCTCCTGAATGAGGGTAGAAGTTACAAGTTCAGGATTGGCTTAGCTTGATCGATGTGACTTCTACGTCGAGAGTAGTCAACTATAGACTTTGTTTTGTGTGTTTCTTTTTAGTACTGACCTGTTACTGTGATAAGAGGTGAAATAATTGTTAGCTCATACAATATGTACTACGTTGATATTGAATCATACTCCGTTTTACACTGCTAATGAACTGTGATGCATGACTTTACTCTGTGACTTGCATGAACTGTGATGATCTGCGGACCACATTATTTTATAGGTGTGCATGTAGGTGGGAATGCAAGGACACTGATCTACTTACTAGGCTTTAGCTCATTCCTCTTATTTTTCTTCCTTGTGTAGAGTGATAACCTCCGATTCTTGAGAGTGGGCAGCTGGACAATTGTGGCAGGTGGCTAAAGTTTAGGATTTGGTAAGGAACTTTTGATAGTATATATTAGTTGGCAGTGCCACAATGTGATTTTGATGTAATATTGACATTTTGTTGTCAGGCCAGTAGTGCCTTGGACAGAATTGTAAAGAACCTTTTGAAATTGTATATAATGGTTTTATTTTGTGCAATTTTTATTTTATTTCGTGGTTTGCTTTGATTCTGCATTTCATCAAAAAATTAGGTTCTAGGGACAATGAGGGGTTTTTAGGGTCTCTGGGATCCTCGCTATTACTACTCAATCCTAGCAGAAACACCCCAAAAGAATATTGGGCATGGTATAAGGTAGTAACCTTAATCAGTCTAAGTAGCACCTTTAAACCCTAACAGAAGATGTAGTTTCAGTGTCAAAATCCCTACTATAGCCTGTAAATCTATTTCTATCCCTAATTATGAAATTTAAAGCTCCAATAGTAATGCACTATTGAAAATAGATAATCTAGATAATGTATTATAAGATGCACAAATTTAGGACTTGAGATCTCATTATTTATGTTTATCCATCTATACATCGAGATGATCAACTAATAAGTATGGATATTTGCATAAAGAGATGGAAGAGAATGGGAGAGATTAATAAGTGTCTAAGAACTAGGTGTGGAATTTAAAAATAGTAAAATAGACTTATTTAGGATAAATTAGTTAAAGAAGAAAAATGGAACTTTGAATATGAGGTCAATGTTGTGTGGAATGAGATAAATGACATTATTACGAAAATGGCAAAAGAAGTTTTAACAAAAACTAGAGGGAAAAGAAATCCTGATAAAGAATTTGGTGGTGGAGTGATGAGGTTCAGAAGGACATTAACGAAAAATTATTATGTTATAAAACTTGACGATGTAATAAAAATTATCAAAACTTAAAAGAATATATAAATGCTAAGAACAATGTTAACTTAAGGCAGATGATAGTCTATACGGTAAATTGGGAATAAGAAAAAGTGAAAAAGGTATCATCAAATTAGTAAAAAATGAGAAAGAAAATGTAGGGATCTAGACCATATTAAATGCATTAAAAGTGAGAATCAAAGGCTCTTGGTGACAGATGAAGATGTCAATGAAATGTGGAGAGTTTATTTTAAAAATTATTAAATGACGAACACAATGGAAACACAACAGTAGAAGGAACTGTTAGCATAAATGAAGGCAGAGGTCATAAATACATTCGTAGGATTAGGATATCATAAGTGAATGAAGCTTTAAAGAGGATGAAGATAAAAAAGGCTTTACGATCAGATAGTATCCCAATTGATGTTTGGAAGTGCATGGGAGAGGTCAACAATGACTAACTAACCAAGATGTTCAACAAGATGAGAACAAAGAAAATGTCAGACAAATGGAGGAAAAATATTGTGATACCTATTTACAAGAACAAATGAGACATACAAAACTATGTGAACTATCAAGGGATCAAACTTATGAACCTTACTATAAAGCAATGAGAGAGAGAGTGATTGAGTAACGATTAAGGCACAAAACGAGTGTATCAGAAAATCAATTCGGTTTTGTGCTAAGAAGGTCAACAATTGAGGCTATTTTCCTACTCAGGCAACTGATTGAGAAGTTTAGGGTGAAGGGAAAAGACTTCTATATAGTTTTTATTGATATAAAGAATTAAAGATGTCTCATATAGAATTAGAGCTGGTTGGGCGTGTGGAGATGTGCAACCGGAGTTTTATGTGATCGCTGCATACTAATGAAGCTGAAAGGAGAGTTCTATAAAACAAATGTAAGACCAGCTTTACTTTATATGGTAGAATATTGGGCGGTCAAGAAACAACATACCTACAAGATGAGTGTATGTGAGATGAGGATATTGAGATGGATGAGTGGCAAGACAAGTAGGGATAGAATTTAAAATGAATGCATGGTGATAAGATGATAAGATGAGAGAAACGATGAGTGTATGTGAGATGAGAATATTGAGATGGACGAGTGACAAGACAAGAAGGGATAGAATTTAAAATGAATGCATTCGAGAGAACTTAGGTGTAGCTCTAATAGGTGATAAGATGATAAGATGAAAGAGTAGACTTAGATAAGCTAACTATATACAGCGCAGACCCAATACAACACCTATTAAAAGGTACAAGTTGGTTTAAGTGAAAGGCTCAAAAAGAGAAGGGATAGGCTCAAAAGTATATGATTGTAAGTAGTCAGACAAGATATAACGACTTATGGCCTCGAACAAGCTTGTCCTTCACACACCTGCCAAAGAGGTGTGCCACGTGACCACTGGCTAGTGCGACACCTACAAGGCCCCAATTCATGGGACACTTGTTTGTATTATGTCCTATGTGTTTCCAATTTCTCTTTGAATTGACCTTTCTACAAAATAAAAAAATTTCAGAATAAATTTTTTATTCCTAAAATACTCATGCTCTGAAAATATAAGTCATACACAAAAATGAAGTGACTAGTTAGAAAACTAAATCATATTTAGTTTTCTTGTTGAAAAAGCCACATAGAAACCCTTGGAAGTTTATGCTAGCAATGGAACAGAAATCTAACAAGGTATTTCCTAACTACCCATGACTACACTCTTAACCTTAAATTAACTAAAAAAAAATGCATGTATTCATGATTGGCCTATCATAGCTAGTCAAAGCATTGAGGAATCACTATATTGCCATAGATCCCAAGTAAACTCCACAGGAACAAGTTTGTGGTTACAAAGAGTCAGTCAACTCATGAAGACACTGCATCACAAAGACGTGGGGAGTCCTCTCTTAAGAGCATGCTGCTCGTCGACCACATAGAAAACTCTCAAGGATC